GCCTGACTTGATACGCGGAGCGTATGCACAAGACGACATGTGCGTAGCGCTGCTACGGGCTCTTGGGAGCGAAGAGTTAAGAGACTCGGACAAGGAATTGTCTGGGCGCTTACGCGCGAGGCTGCATCGATACTCACTCGATGGCGGCCTGCTGTACTACAGCACCGACGCTGAGGATAACCCTCGTGTAGTCGTTCCTCATGATGAGGATCTAAAGTATCGAATCCTCTATGAGGTTCATGATACGCCCGTGGGCGGGCACTTAGGTCGGGAGAAGACCTATGGCTCGGTGAGCTCGATGTACTGGTGGCCCAAAATGTATAAGTGGGTTGGCACCTATGTACGCACGTGTGAGACGTGTCAACGGACGAAGTCCGCGCCGAGCACGGCAGCGCCATTGGCGAGTTTGCCTGTCCCCAAGGGATGTTGGCAGTCCATGAGTATGGACTTTGTGTTTGGCCTTCCCAAGGACAAGGCAGGAAACACGGGTATTGTGGTCTTTGTAGACCGATTGAGCAAGATGGCTCATTTAGCGGCGGTGCCGGACACCATAGATGGTGAAGGTACAGCTTTGCTGTTTTTAGACCGAGTCTTTTGCCAACATGGCTTGCCTGAGGCAATTGTCTCGGATCGAGATCCGCGCTTCACCGCGAAGTTCTGGACGTCCCTCTTCAGAGTGCTCGGCACTCGTTTGGACATGTCCACGGCGGACCATCCGCAGACCGATGGTCAAACCGAACGCGTGAATCGCGTTGTGGAGGATACCCTCCGAAGCGTATGCGCTGAGGCGCCAAAACGCTGGAGCCAGATGCTCCCACTCGTTGAGTTCGCGTTAAATAATGCAGTGCACGCCTCGACAGGCTACACTCCGTTCTATGTGAGCGGCTTGGTTAACCCTCGCGTCCCACTGACGCCGCCATGCAGTGGCTCAGGGCTTGGTGGGGGAGGGATAGCCGAGCGGCTAGCTGATGTCAGCCCTGTTGCGGTTCGCAAGCAAGTCGATGACTTTGTCTCTTTGAGACTGAGCGTAATGCGTCAAGTACGCGACGCTATGGCTGAAAGCCAAGACACGCAGAAGAAACATGCAGATGCCAAGGGCAGAAGCAATGTTGAGAGGTTTGAGGTCGGTGACCAAGTTTTATTAAACGCTAAAAACCTACCTACTCATGCAGTGTCTGCAGTCTTCAAGACGAAGTTAAGACCTCGCATCATAGGACCGTTCAAGGTCGTGGCCAGGAAGGGCCTAGCGTATACGCTCAACCTTCCGAAGAAGATGCGCACGCATCCGGTCTTCTATGTCGGCTTGCTTAAGCCATACCAAGACCCTGCTCAGGTGAGCGCGGAGGCGTTGGCACCAACGGTGGCTGGGCCACGGACAGCTGCAGGGCAGCAGGTGGTAGAGCCACGGGAGGCTGAACGACAGCAAGTGGTGGATCCACAGATGGCTGATCAACAGCAAGTCGATCTGACCTTGCAGCTGAGCGACTTGACGCTCAAGGTCCACGACTCGGTTCTGAACCGACTGTGGTTGTTCAAACCAGTCCACGCGGTGATTCGTCTCATCGAGACCATCTGCAAGGCGACTCAGAGAGTCAGTCGTATCATGGAGATACTGGTTCAGGGAACCCACACGTTGCTCCAGCGCGAACACGTCGCTGCGACTCGCGACGCGAGAGTCCAGCTGAGGCTCGGCCTCCTCCTGCTCTGCTCGACGAGCACGGCGAGCTCCACTTCCATGTGGAACGCCTGGTGGCGAGGCGCAGGCGCCAGGGTCGTACTCAGTACCTTGTGAAATGGAGGGGTTATCCTCACTCACAAAACTCTTGGGAGTTTGAGGTTGTCCTCCGGCAGGACTGCCCTGACGTCGTCGACGCTTTTGATCGGGCGCACTCACTGCCCCGCCGCTACGGCGTACGACCGCGTCGTCAGGCGCCGAGCGCTTCCCGCCGCTAGAACGCGGGGATGACAGGTCGGTGGCTGAGCTCAAGCTCCGACCAGTGGCTGGAGCAGCCGGCTTATAGGAAAGAGCGGTGCTCGCAGCATGAGCAAGAGGTGGTGACGCCTCGAGGTGATGGGGACGGGGTCCCAGTGTTCGTCGACGTGCTTTCGACTTAGCGAAGTCTAAGCGCAAACGTCTCTCAAGACGAATATCAGTTTCAGAGAAACTTGCTCGAAGAGCATTGTAGGAGGGGAGCCGTCGAGCTCCCTCCACCCAGCTTCGGAATTGTGCTTCATAAGCACGCTGGGATTCCCCAGGGTTGAGAACAACCGGGATGGTTCGCATAGAGGGAACCGGTTGGCGGTTTAGCTGCATCTGCAGGCGCGCCTGATACTCCTGAGGAGTTGTGACTTGTGGAGTCAGATATCGCTCTCGGAGCCGGTGCCGTTGCACTTGCTCATCAGCAGTCGAGGCCGCAGGCCCACACGTGTACGTGTTCAGCGGCTGCTGCGCCGCGAGGCGGGCCGCTTCGGCAGGGTTCCGCGGCTGGAAGCCGTAGTCACGGCGTGACGTTAGAACAAGTGGTCGGACCACAGGTCGGAATGACTGCGAGCGCTGCTCATTGGACAACTGACGGCCTTGGGCCTCGTCCAGGTCATTCGTAATGACGTTGTGATCGTATCGATCTTCCTCGTCATACCGCGACGATAGCGGTGGCGCATCGCGCAGCGAGCGAAACGGATTCGAACGTTCAGAGAACGGATGCGGTGTCCGCAGGTCTCTTCTTGTTGGAGATCGCGCCGTTGAGCGGCTAGACCTCACAGAGGAAGCTGGGGAGGACGCGGCACCAGCGTGCGACCTCGGAGAGGTTGGGTTGGAGTGATCCTCACTACCCATGGGCTCGTCGTAATCGACTTCGCCCTCTTCGAGTTCCGAGAACAGACCATCGTTCCCTCTGGGCGGCGCCCGCGGCTCTGACGAGCTTTGAGCTTTGCTCTCTTCTTGTTGACGGCTCATGGAGCGTTGACCGTGTCGACGGCGATACTCTTGGTGGTACTCCGCCACCGAAAGAGACGAAGATGCTCTTGGAGCAGTTGCGGAGCGCAGTTGGGGGTCTGGGACCGACGAGGCAGGGGCGGCGCGACGCGCTGGAGACGTTGAGCCGTGGGCCGGAGTGGGAGTGCCAGGCATCAAGGATGCGAACGCGTTTGTGAGCTCGTGGAGCTGCAGAACGCACAGGTGAGGTCTAGTGACCTCCGTCGTCTTGACAAGACGTGACCTCGCTGAGGAAAGTTCGAGAACGGAATGTTCTCATCTTAGTGAGGGAGAGTGTAACGGGGTTACATGGTGTGGAACACACAGGGGTACGAAGTACCCGGAGATTTAACAAACTCTCAGTACATAAGTTGGAGAGTTAACAAGGTCTCTCAGTACGTTGGCTGAAAGCCACACGTTATGCATTTGATTAGGTTTAACTATGCTAGATAGTTAAAGAGATACATTTACCCCTAGGCGGCTTGGCCGCAATAATAGTAAATAAAGGACTTCTGGTTTTGAAGCATAAAAGTTAAGGTGTTAACTTTGAGCCCTGGTCTTGGGCTGTAAGTTCCTTTGGACAAGGAACTTAGTATTAGTGACTCTTTGAGTCGAACGTCTTCCTCTGACGCTAAAGCTACGGCAGCCCCGCTGCAGTGGAGCTCTGAGGAATCCACCAGCGCCATAATGCGCTCGTACAGGTCATGCTAACCAATGATAAGGATAATGGTCAATTAAGTAGCCGCGTCGAACAGCTTGCACACTTTGGTCGATATCATCAAGAGGAATAGTCCATTGAAACGATACTTGCGCCATCAAAAAGAGCAGACACACCGCTATTTTTGTGAATATTTACTGGTTAAATGCTGTAGTTTTGTTGCATTGGTGGGGCTTGCAAGTTGGGCGCTACGTTTGACGGACCTGTCGGTTTAATAGCCACCTTTGACTTAATTTCATTAAACTGCTCGATTCGTCTGATCGATCCAAGAAGGCTAAGGGTAAGGGAAAGAAAATGGTGTCTTAAGTCGTATTATCACCATTTCAGTATTATAAGCAGTTTATAGACTGCTACAGCCTAAGCCCACGCCTCCACCACAGGTTCAAATTCCGTCGCTGGCACCTGGCCAGCTTTCTTCTTCCTGGACAACACTGGATTCCTCGCCTTGGTACGTCTATTTGACGCTCCTTCTTCTTCAAGAAGCACTCCCTCGTAGTGCTAAGAGCGGTTTCGTCAACATTATAAAAACTCGTATACACCAATTTTGGGCTCTATCATGACCTTAGCTAGGAACGAGAACAACACTGCAAGATCGCGCTCTTCCACCTCGTTACGGCACTTAGAAAGGGGCTATGACGTCCTTAATGTGAGGGACGAGTGACGAACCAGGAGGCGGCGCAGCCAGCCTTCCTCCATTGACAAGCCGCGCATCAGCTGAGCCACCTGCTGCGCCTTCTCCAGAAGGTCGTACAGGGCGCCAAACCTGCTGCCTCCCAAGCTCCCAGTCTCAGAGACTTTCTTCTGCATCTTCTGGTAGCATAGGATGTGGACCGCGGCGGTTGGGCTTGCGGAGAATCCCATTCCGAGCTAGAGCGACGTACTGCTTAAGCGTGCTATGGGGAGCCTTGGTTTGTCGCTCGTTGTCTTCGTAGTGGACCCTGAAAGCACCTCTTGAACGGCAGCGTCAAGTTCTGCTTCAGAATAAGGTGCTCGAAGCCTTCCCTTTGAGCCAGGCTTGGAAATGGGCGGGAAATATCCAGATATAAAGTGCTTCAGGTTTTTACTTAGACGGAGCAATTGTAGCTTTGGCAAATCAAATCAGTAACCGTATGGGTACATTGACGGTATTGGCTGAAAAAAGGTCCGGTACTAACTGGTAAAAGCTTCTAATTGACCATTTCCCTTAGTGAGTATGTCTATCGACTTAGAGAGGAAGTAGCCATTACGTACTCAATATAAATGGCTACATCCTCTTTAAATCGATAATCTTCTACATTTTCGATTAGTAGCCACTCATTGACGTAGATGATCACTTCGCTGTCGGAGCGCATTCTGTTGCATGTGAGTGCCTCGGAGCTTCGTCGGAGCTCCAACATCGTTTTGGAAGAGGAATACTCCGCTCTTGACGAAGTTGTGAATGAAATTGTTGCGGTTTTCGCCGAAGTAGAAGAAGTACGCGATGCTGTGAGCCAACTGGAGCAGCCACCAGACGCAGCGATACGCTCGTAGAAGTCATGGACAGCACGTTGCAATTGCATCAAACCTTGGATGATAAACTGGAAAACCTGGCAAGTGGAATAAAGATGGTGCACTTGAAAGTGGAAGAAGAAGAGCCGAATAACGCAAAGAGAAAGCGAGAGGAGGCGGATGAAATGGAAGACGCTTCTTCCAGTGACTCGTCATCATCATCCCCCAGTAGTGGTAGTGACGACGACAGTGAAGAAGAAGACTTGAATAGACACAAGAAGATGAAGGTAATAGAGCAGTCGAAGCACCCTCAAGGTAGCGAATCTCCTCATGCTAGCGGCATAAATGTAAGTGCGGATCTGTCTCTAGCACACGAGGCTCTCGCCTTCTTTACGACGTTAAAGCCCGGTAACGCTGACATGACTCACACATGGGCAACGACGCTGTTCAACCTCAAGCTGCTGCTCAATCGCCTCTCTAATCGTGATGCTCGTACGGATAAACCGACTGCTGAAGTCACTAGCCAAGCACTTGAAGCTGCTGTCACTGCATTCAGTAAGCTCGAGAGGACAGCTGAAGTCACGGAGCAAGTGCGGGCCTTGCTTGCTGCATTGAACGACGCTTGCCTCAAGAACGAGGTCCTGAGGGTTGTTTTCTACCGGTACGACGTTATAATCTGCTAAGTTGCTCATTCCTTACTGTATTTGATCCTGCTAAACAGAGTTCGAGATGAACTGGAAAGCCTGGAGATGAGCAATCCCCGCACAGCATTAGAAACGTCAGGAATGGTGTTGAGTTTCAAGGAACTTGTTGACAAGATTGCGAGTTTGCCAAGCACTGAAAAGCCGAGCCGCATTCTCGAAGCGCTCGATGTGATACATCACGTCATGGTAGAGGATCCTCACTGCACTCGTCAAGCCGAGGCGCGCTACTCAGCTGATGTCGTCAAGTACTGGATTAGTGCAATTCCCTTCCAACATGAACTGGGCAAAGCATACGAGACCTACGCGTCCAGTTTTGCGGAGTATAGTACAAAAATTGCTGGTCGCACTAACCAGGTTGGATGGAAAAGGTACGTGCCAGTATTCGAGACGTAAGCGGGCTAACTTTATCCGGGTTGTAACCCTTTCAGACTTGCTGATAAGCTGCACAAGTTGATAAGAAGGAGGAGAAAACAGACAAAGATCACGTCGTGTGTACCGCCAACGCTGTCAAAAGCTACAACGAGAAAACGGGACCAGCTGATGGCGATAAACGCTGAAGCTACGCAGTGGCGAGATGGCAACTTTACGTTGGACCAACTGAAAAAAAACATCAAGGGACTTGGAGAAATAGTGTCGTACCAGGCTAAGGACTGGGATTTTCTAGCGGACGTTAACGTTCGTTTGTGTGTGAACAAGTTAATTCGCTGCAGCCACATGATCCCGAAGGAAGAGCAGCGAGAAAAATACCTCAAGACTCTCAAGAGGTGGAAGAAAAAGATTGCCGCGTATCAGGAACTCATCAAGAGGAAATAACTCTCTTAGCGTCGCCGTTCTCTCGACAAAAGCCTGGTAATACTACGTAGTATTTGCATTCCTCGTTATGTTGCCTCGTTCCTGATGTACCCGATATTGTCAATGCGTAGTACCAAGATTCAAAGGGGTACTATGCTGACGCACTGCATTATTTTTCTTTCAAGGTCCGTCTTGAGACTACGGGATTACCGACGCGCAACACTCACCCGTTTAATGCTCTTGGTCGAGTGATGCTCCGATCCTTTGCCCGCTGCTTGCATAAAGCGCTTGATCAACAAGACGTGGTTCCGTTGAGGCATGTGCTTGGCTGTCCCCACTGCGACACTTAATGTGCTTGTCGTGCTTCCTGTCACACTCTCCGCAGGGCGCACGGATATTTGACTGGACGTGTCATACGAGCAGCGGTGACGACTGGACTTGCCATGTTGACGTCGGTGTCTAGACATGAGTTTAGCTCGAGCTAGATCCTGTGACGCCACGTCGTCTTCGAGGACCTCCTCGTCTTCATATTCAATCGCAATGTCCTCCGACTTACGCGGAGTTGCTGGACGGCTCGTGTGTGGCGACAATGGCGTTTGTGGTCGACTGGAATGAGGTGACAAAGGCGTCGACGGACAGTTCATGTTGTGAGGTGACAGTGGGGTCGACGCTGGAGCTCTCGGGGACATCGGACGTATGGGAGACACTATACGTGGTGAGGTTGGTGGGGTCGCATGTGCTAGCTGTGGCTCTGTCGCTCGAAGCTTCCGTGGACTAGCAGACGCTAACGGACTTGTAGGCGACAGAGGCGTGGCTCGACGAGGACTTGGGACGTGAGGAGAGTTGATTTTTTCAGGTGAAGCCACTGACGGACGAGCAATTTGTGGAGGTTTTGGAGTCGTGGGTCGAGGAGAATTTTCAGCAATTGACGAGCTAGTAGATGGGCGCGTACTGCCTTCATAACGACTGTCAAATGACGGGGTGGACTCTTGTTGCATCTCCTGGAACGAGTGCGACACATGGTGTCCGCGTGTGAACCTGTGAGACTCAATAAATTTCGGTAGCACGATCAAACCGTTCTTCGATCGCTTTACATACTCGAGTTTCTGTCGATGACGCTCCTTTTTGTACTTCTCCGAGTGAGACCAATGATCTCCATCGTGTGTGTAATCAGGCGGTAGGATCTTCATACAGAACTCCTGTAAGTCCAGATCGTTGCTATTGTCTGTGTCATATCGTTTAAAAAGACCCAGACATTGCGCGGGTGTTAGACGGAAGCCAAGAGCTAGAAGACGCTCTCGGAACTCATCCATAGTCACGTGACTGGCCTTCTTAAAGATCTTGTACGCTTGACGAAAAGTATCGGAACTACGGGACGTGCTCTGCATGATCTTGTCTCGAATACGCATCTCGATCTCGTCTAAACTCCAGCTCTCCATCTCGATCTCCGTCATGTATTGGTCTGGATTCGCTAAGGCTTCTTCTTTCTTCTTCTTGGCTGCAATTCGATGCATCTCGTCTGCAGCAGCCACCCAGGAGATCCCCATATAGTCAGGAGGTAGCACTCCATGGATGAACTCATTCAGGTCAATGTCTCCGCTTCCATCCTTGTCAAAGCGTCGGAAGAGGATATCCGACTGAACACGAGTCAACGCCAAGCCAATCGCTTCAAGTGCAGCATGGAACTCGTGTGGCTTGATCCCATTAACTTTTTTGAATATACGGAAAGCCTGTCGAAAACAGTCAGAAGAACGAGAAGTACGTTGTTCGATCTTCTCGCGTAACATCCGTTCGATGTCTGCAATGGTCCACGATTCTTGTACAGAAGCTACGGCCATGGAGTAGAGTTTTCGTCGTGAATCTTCAACTTTCTGTCGGTCTTTAACCGACAACCAGAAGGACGTGGAGCTGTCATCTAGCATGACGCCTTGCACGAATTTATTCACGTCCAGATCGCCAGTTTTATCAAAGTCAAAAGTGGCGAATAGATCTTGTAATTGCTTGGCGGGCAATTTTAGACCGAGTTTTTTCATGGCAGCATCCAAGTCGCTGTGCGAGATCCCCGTGGCCTTGGCGAACAGCATGAACGTTTGTTGGAACCGATCTCTTTCTTCCGAGATATGGTCCATTCGTTCTCTTATCGTCGCCACAAGTTGCTTGGTCGAAAGAGAAGGCTCCTGGTCGCTTTCACTCCTAGAAGATCTGGCACTACTGGGCCGATTTGCTCGGTATTCCTTAGAGAAAAGCGTCGTGACGAACTCGACCGTGTCGATAACTCCGTCGCCGTCTTTGTCGAATCGAACGAAGAGTTCACGACATTTAGGAGGCGATAACTGAATCTGTAGCATCCCTAGATGACGATGGAAGTCTGCAAATGTAATTGTTTCTAAATTTGTAAAAAATCTGAAAGCTTGCGCAACCAGATCTGTGGTCCCACGAGGCATTTTTTCTTCAAGTTTGCGCGCCACGCACTTCTCGAGTTCCTCCAACGCCATGTATTCGTACATCGAAGTCGACGACCGAGGGCTTGAAGACGCGTTATTATTCATTGGCGCAGACACTCGAGGTGCCTTTACTCCCGGTCGGTTGGCTCGATCACGTACAGTGGGCGAGTTCGTCGCTGCGATCGGAGACGGCTCATCGGGCGAAAAGAAATGTTCCGGTAGAAATACTCGCTGTGCGAACGTCGGGTAGTCGATCTCGCCCAGATCGAGTTGGTCGATGCGTCTAAACAGCTCGTTGCACAGACGTGGCGTAGCGTGCAGACCGAGACGCACGACCTTGTGATGGAAACACTCTTGCGTGATCGTGTTGGTTGTGGTGAAGAAGCGGAACGCTTGACGCGAGTAGTTTTCGTACGCGTTGGGGCTTGGGATGGTGGGATCTACCGTGCAAAACATGGCGTGGACAGCTTTACGCAACTCCTTGATCAATGCATCGACAGTGGTGACTTTAGAAGGTACAACAGGCTCATTATTCGGCACTAAGCGAGGAATTCTACCACCCGGTAGAGCAGGACGGGTTGTCCGCGTCTTGTCGAGCGTATAACCAGCCCCACTCAGAGCGAGGCTGCCCACCGGAGGCCCCTCCATATTCCCGAGAATGGACTTTTGTCCAGAGCTGCGAAGGCGTTAAGAGTGGCGCCACAATAGACGCCTTGGACCAAGTTAAACGTGCTCACACCTGCGCGTGAAACGCCCACGCCCAACCATAAGGGCTGGTTGCATTTTTAGCATCGATATATTTAGAAATGGCAGAGAAATACATAAAGTCGTTCATCAGAAACCCTGTGTATTTGTTCATTTTGTTTAGCAGGGATAAGTGAGCTGCACGATCTCGCGAATATTCGACTTGCAGTCGCGTTCTTCCCATAGAGTTTCGGCTCGGAAGACCCCGTCGGCTTGCACGAGACCTACGAAGTGTTGTACGCTGCCATTGGTGCCGAAGTAGTACTTCTTCGCCGCCACTAGTGCACGGGCGTTCGGAGAGCGACGTAAATGTCTCTTGATCGTCTAAAATAAAATTCACAAAAAGGTTAATAATTACTTGGCGCAAGTTTTTAACTATTCACAGACGCACCTGGAACAGTTCCACTGCCACTTTCTCCGTGTAGATGGTCTCGGCTGTTAAAATGAGGTCGAACTGCATTTGATCTTCCGTCTGATGCTCCACGTCTTTCATGTATTGGGACATACCAGTCCATGCTCCAGCATAAAACTCGGCTTTATTGTACAGCTCCTGAGCGTTCTGGTGTACATTGGGGCATGTCGTGAGCTCCAGCACCTCCTTGTTATAGTCACTGAACACAACGCGATCTGCACCTCGTTGTAGCGCGTGAATACCAGGTAATCCGTGGCCACAGCCCAGTTCCAACACAGATGGAGGCATCGTAAGCTTTCCCTGACGCAGCTGCGTCTCTACGAACTTGACGAGGTCTACAGCGCACTCCCAGAGCTTAAATCCGCCCTCATACACACCTGTTTCGACATCGGACGTCGTCAAGATGGAGCTGATGGCGCCTGTGCGGGTCTGGAAGTCCGCGTCCGTAGTATTGACGATCTCAAACGTCATGTCGCCCACTTGCACGGTGGAAAAGGCGGAAGAAGACGGAGACCACACGAACTTCTCGCCATTGCGCATGGGCGTGGACACATCCAATGTGCTGGGCGGCGCCGTTGCTGTTGGCGCAGCCGACACACTGTCAAAGGCGAAGTTGAACGAGAAGGACATGGCTACAATTTGTAGCCTACAAAATGTAGATGGCCATGTGAGACCCTTTGAAAAGTAATAGCGTTTCCTCTCACAAATGATATTGAATACATTTACTGTACTACAGTCGCTGTTAATAGTTACAGTACAGTAATTGTCGGATATGCAGTTTGCTTACCGTCGCCGTTTACTTGGGCGTTTGTTGCTTGCTGCTATTATTCAATGCGTTCGTGATTTTTGCGATGCTAACGTACGTAGACACAAACAGTTAGTTTTTAGGGTAAGATACCATGAGCAACCCAGTCTGAAGTCGTAGGTAGTACCTGCTCAGCTCAGCCTGGCTGTTCTTCATATTCTCAGCATACACTGCAGCTTTGCCAGCGAAACAGCGAAGTCTATAGGACATGTAGTCTTGACGAGTGGTCTTAGACACCCAGCTTCTGGCCTGGTGCACCACATTCCGAACATCTTTTTCACACTTGCGTCCAGCATCTACCTCCATCATGATTTCCATCATGCTGAGTATCACAGAAATGCGTTGCGGTGCTTCGTTATTTGAAAGAGTTTTCATAGTTTTCATCAAGCCTCGATACGTCCACAGTAGACGCTCCAGCAACTCGTCATCCTTAGCTTCCCTTATCATTGTTGCTAGTGAGCCAGAGCTTTTTTTCGCGACCCTGTTCAGGTTTACTCGAGCACTGCAAGAAACACTTTCTTATCAGCATTGCTATCCAATACAACGGAGATAAAGAATATGACACGTACCGTTCAAAACATTTCTTCAACACCTTTTTGTGGTACAGGCTCCTGTGAGAGCAGCGTCAAGTATTTGCACCTCGTAGAAAAGCTCGACTGTCCATTCAAGTTGCATGAAAGTCACGGCTGCAATCTCCAAAGCGTAGGCGATCATCCTCGCCGTCGTATTATCCACCACGGCCGAATATCTGCATGCCTGCTGCTTGAGAATGTCCCGGACGCCAATGATGGCCTTCGACCAACGCGTTTTCATGTCGAATGGGATCTTGTTGTTGACCGTTTTCACGTTCAGCATCGTCTTCAAACACTCTTGAGAAAGATGGAGCCAAGGGTGGCTTGTCTGGAGTTGCGTTGATTTAGCGAGCGCAGTGCGAGCCTCCTCTTTTATTTCGGAGACCTCGATTTTGTGCCTCCTTTTTACTCTCTTGTCTCTGAATCTCGTCGCTGTTCAGGACGACAACAATTCACTCGTTGCCACCGACGCTTTTTCTCCCTTTTGCTCTTGTCTGTCAATCGTTTGCCCCTCTCGTCTTCGGATTCCATCGGATGGAGATGTACGAGCTCATTCTGTCGCGAGTGGGACGCGATGAGCGTCAACGCAGTTGCAATAGCGTCGCGGAGGACGAAATCTTAGCACTGCATCAAGCAGTGACGAAAGCTGCTGCAACTTTTGCCAAGGTGGAAGAAGTACGCGATGCGATGAAACAACTGCAACAGGGCAACGTATTGACTGGAGGCAGTGAAAGTTTGATAAGGGAGATGGAAAATACAATAAAGCTGCAACGGAAATTGGAGAAGGCCATGGAAATGGCTTTGATAAGTGAATACAGGACAGTGTTGGGGCTAGTGGGGAGTGGATGATGGCGGTCTAACGATGTGGGTTGTGGTGTAGCAATCGGAGGTTGAAGGGGACCCCAAGGAGGAAATGCAGACCCAGATGAAGCCAATTTGCTCAAAAATTGACTGAAAACTGTAAAACGTAGCAAAAATCACCCTTTTGAAAAGAATTCCATAATTAATAATAACGAAAAACGTTTATTAATTCTGTAGTTCTTGTACTGATACATGATATGGAGCTCATCTTCGGCGAGGTCGCGCTAAGTGCCAAGTAGCAGCAGTTCTGGAAGAACTCCACCAGGCAGAGACACAGCTGCGACCTGGTCTCGAAGCACTAAGGCGCGCGCTGACAGTCGCTCAGGTCTCGAGCAGCATATGCAAGAGCGCATCATTACGTCCCCACTTTATCATGAGGTCGAGTGAACGAATTGAACCAGGAATTGGGTGCAACCGAGCTGAGTAATGCACAGCCTTTGGCCCAATTTGGCCAACCAAATGTGGACTTGAGTCGAGGCAGCGAAGAAATGAAGTCGGAGGGGATGATGGAGGAAAAGAACGATGACACAACGCGACGCGGAAAGGAAGAAATTGAAGAGACGGGAATGAGAGCCTTTTCTATCGCGTAAGCTTCTAAAGTAACCACTCGAGAAAATTTAGACCGTTGGCGGCTCATACCGACGGCTATACCTCCCCTAGGTTTGCCTACTGGGTATACGGAAGGTGAGAATGAGCCGAGTAGAGCGACGCCATTGGTTAGCGGTGAAATAAGGCAACAGGATATGGCCACGTACGCTGATAACGCTATGAATAAATTACTGGGTGCATTTTCCACAGCAGTTAATGCTGTGAGCCGTTTAATGCATTTCCCCGACCAGCAAAGAAGCAGAAAGAGCCTGACCATTCTGGTGGAAAGACTCAATCTGGGCAAAACGAGAGTGTGAGAAGAAACAGAAACCCGAAGACGAGAGAAGCTCCGATCCAACGTCACCTCCAGTAGCTAAACGACCCGCTCGAGATGCTGGCTGTCGTCTTCAAACAGCGTATAGAGCTACTTTCTCGTGGTTCTATACGAGAGCCACAGGAAACAGCTCTGAATGCTGCGGTCGCCCTAAAAGGCACGATTCCCTATCTCGGCAAGGTAATCTAGTGAAAAAATTCGTTACCGCAGTCGCTGAAGCTGCTTTTGTCTTAAAGGATGACCTAGCCTCTCATAAATCGAGGAAGGTCTTCGAAAACATGGAGTTCGTCGCAGTGAGTAACCTGACCGGCTTAAATCACGATTAATTACAAGCAGTGTGGCACATGGTCAACACTCTATAGCAACTTATCGATGTTCCTTCTGTCAAGTCAAAGCGTCTTGAATGGTACGGTATGTTATTGGAATTGTGTACTTAACAGGGATACCCCTATAACAGCTGCTCGATTTACTACAGGGGCTGCCACATGCCGAGCCACGGAAGTATCTCCTGCAAATGTACGAGATATTCGCTGACAAGGCGGACTCCTTCAGGACACGGCTTCTCAGTATTCTGCAACACTTCGAAGACGCAGCCACGACTTTACCGGACGGAGTGATCAACAAGGATATGACGTTTTTAAATGATCTGCTGGAAGGTCAAATTGTGACGTGGGCGGTCTGAGTATTGGGAAATTACTCGCTAAGGCTCAGCAGTTTGGCTCGAAGCAGAATGGTGCGAAGTGGGATCAGTATTTTATCGTCATTTGTCGATCCTGTAGTAAAATGAATGGATCGGTGTAACGTCAGAGCCGTCTATTGCTATTTGTCGATCCTGGAGCGAGCTCAGACGAAGTCAAGCAAAAAAATAGGTTTTTGCGAAACTCATTGACCGACTGCAGTGGGTTTTTAGAGGAACGGTGGGTGAAATGAATCTAGCATTTCTCCCATTTGAGATGCTTGCCCTCACTCTGAAAATATGAATTGACGTATATGCGCGAGGACTACGCCACGATCTCATAGCGGGGAGTCGCATTTATGTATGCTAATAAAATGATGTCGGGAAATACAGTGTTCCCATTTTGTGCCACCAGAAAGTTGTCCCAACTTTGTGTACCCTCCAAGAATCCATAGATTGCTACAGATGGTTACATGCAAATTTTTTCTGGCATTTTTGGGGGTTATATGGTTTTTTCTGGGTGATCCTCTGATAAGAAAAAAAAGACGTAAAACATGGTGCAGCAGACCTTGACGGCTAATCAGACGGCGCCACATATTGGGGAATATTTTTCACCATTGTGATGTTCTCGGCCTTATTCGGCTTTTTATGCGACTCCCACCTCTTCACGGCGCGTGACCAATCGGATTTGTGTTTGTTCTCTTTCATCTTCATATTTCCTTGATCGAGGAGGCCCTTTATGCCTTTTATGTCTTTGATCGAATGTGGCGACACCTCATCAAAAATGACATTCTGTCGTTCAAAGTCCTTCATATTAGATTGAGGAACCATAAAGACAAGCGCAGCTCGCTTGGGATTGGTCCTGACTAGTTCCAACAAACCAAGTCTGTCAAGTACGTAAATGATTCCAAAAGCACGCACTGGATGGGTCTTGGAGGACGTCATTTGGAAGAAAAGTATACGCCTGTTCGTAGTATTCATTGACGGTGTCGCAGTCGTGCTACCAGGTGTTTTTGGAAAGTAGAATCCATCAATTGACTCCATCGTTTTTGACTTCGGCTGATGGTACTGTACGGTCCTTTGTTCAGTAGCAAAGAAGACAACGCGCTGCGCTCAAAGTCATCAACGGGATCGGTCCGCTCAATGTCAAAAGTTTCCCGTTTTTGTCGCGTATTGACGGTAGACACTCCTTGTGCCTTCAACTCCAATACCTCCAACTCCAGTCCGTCGCGAAGCTTTGCATGCGCTTTGGCTTTAAACATAGATCCTCTAAGCGAAGCAGCGGGGGGTATGCCGTCAAGCAACGCCTTGACTTCATTCGTTCTGCCCTCTATTACGCCCAGCAGACGCTCCGAAAGCTTTTTGCACACCATTTCGGACACAAGTTTCGTTTCTACTAACCTTCCATCACCAATGGGCTCGTAATGCAAGAAATCGTGGTTCGTGGTAGTGTTTATCCTATTCGTAAGCAGGTTTTCGAGATGTCCTCGGTTAGTAATCTGCTCGATCGGTTTCGTCAAATCTTGAATAGTAAGCACAACCTCTTCTCGCTCAAGCAAAAAGCAATTGCGAGCCACTCCACCGAAATTCCAGAATCGTTCTTCCATCTCATCATTACTAATAGGGTATTTCAGAACGGAAGCAGCTAGTTGCAGCTCTTCAAGTCTCCACGGAGGCATGTAGTAAGTGCGAAGTGTTTTTCTTACTTCCTTCAGCCATCTCTCGTTTGGGCTTGTAAACACAACCGTTTGGCGGAATGCTACCTTTGGCGGTCCATCGCACAGCCAAAGTAATTTCTCTCGATATCGATCCAAGGTTGTCTCATCACTGAGATCCACGCCTAATACCTCCAACGTCACAATGTCCAAAATTCTCGCATTTGCCCGACGATAGTGCTTGGCTTCCTCACCAGGTTCAAACACAGCCAGCGATTTGACTTCTGCTTCCGGAGTATGCGCTGACGCAATAATAGTCCAGGTTGGGTTGGCCTTCTTGAACCGTTCCAAGAAATAGGCGTAGAAGATCGACTTTCCAATTCCTGCAGGAAAGTACCCATTTAGATGACTAAGGGTTCATTGATGCTGAGTACTTCAAATATTAACTAACTGCTCACCTGGAGTGCCGGTCACTGTCACGCATTGTTTGTTATCATTTAGTAGCAGATCTTCCACCTTTTTATAGTAGACATCATAACACGCGCGAACAAAGTAGAACTCGCCGCCATTGTACTCCGTAGCAAGGGGCACATCAGGCACTTTGCATCTGATCTCCACGTCGAAGTTGTCTTCCTTGCCAGAAATTGCGGGAGAGTTCTCCTCCGCTAGAGCGATCCTCTCCGCCAAATCATGGTTTGCGCCTTGTTCGCCATCGTCGTCAACTCTCTTCTCCTCTTCATGTTGGTCTCCTTTATCTTCATCCTCCTTAAAGGCCTCTACGTGAGAACGTTTCCTGAGTAGTTTCCCAGGCGCGGTCATCGTTCAGTTTTGAGACACTCACGAACAATTTCAATTGACAGACTGTGACATCGAGGTAACCCTATCCATGTTTTACTACAATTCTTCTGCTAAAAAAAACAAATGTTTTTTTGTGATTACAAACACAAAATATGTAGAATCAAAGTGACGCAAAGTTATTGGTCACATTCCCTCGGCTTGCCTACTTCTATAGAATAGGCTTTTCGTCATTCTACAATGTTAGAGCCACATTTAATCAAAATTTTGGATTAGATTGTCCACAGCCCAATATTTTCACAGCAGCTGCAACATTATTCTGCATACCACTGTCGATCATCTTAGCCCGGGACTCTGTACTCTACAGATTAAGCAATATAATAGGATAAACCATTCGGTAAAGTTCCCTATTGGTACAAACTCCGCATATAAATATTTGTATTGCAACATTATCATGTAGGATCAGCGCTGGGAAGATTGGTTGCGATAAATAAAAAAGCCAGTATAAACGACGGAGAGGTTTGAAAATTTGAAAAGAAACCTACAAGTACCCCCCCCCCCCCTCTTTCATTTAAAGCCTTCCATTTTCAAGAACTCGCAGCATGAATAACCCCGACGAGAAGACGTTCAAGCAGCTGTGGCCTCAGCTCTCGGGCGGAGGTTGGAAGGCGCGTAAGCCCAAGGGACTAAGCACTGACTTTTACTTATGTAAAACCTGGGGTCAAGGGTCGGTTAGATCCGTCCAAGCGAGGCGAAGCCTAATCTGCTGGTACGTGGCAGTACCAATTCTGTATTTCTACGGTTAGTATCTCACGCTCTATTTATTGGGCGAGCCGGAGCTCATGGCATTTGGCCCGAAGGAGGGCCTGCTGGCGTTGGGTATGCTGGAAGAACCCCAGCATCGCTTAGATTTGTCGGATCAGGTCCAGTTGCCAGCTGATCCTGCTCCATTTGAACGCTGCAGGCATTTCTGAAGAGGAAGGAGCTTCTCCAGTGAACAATGGTGCAGATTCAGTGGCACCTGACACATTATCTCCCCGGGTTACTGTTGCTGAATCTGCTCTACCAATTCTGCACAATACAGAACAAGACAGTGTCGCACCCCAGCCTATTCTGGATGATGCAGATTACCACGATCAGCATCGTCACTCGGAAGATGCGAAGAGCCAAATTGATGGCCGTGATGATGACCCTCTGGATGAGTTTGACGGCGATTACTTTTTGGATGCGATGCGGAGTGAGAATCTGCTTGACAGCATAGATCTGACGACGTCAACTTTGTCAAGAATGCAGACAATAATTGCTCTGAGTCGGAAGCCGATGATGACGACAATGGCGACGACGACTCAAGCGACGAAGGCGTTGACGACGTTGAAAAGCTTGATAGCGACGAGGAAATGGATTACACCTTTGACATGGCACCCGAAGACCTTCGGCAACTTGGTTCTAGCGGCTGGGAGACTTACGATGAGGACCACAGTGGTAGGTCCGAATTATACAGAATAAGCATACTAGTACAATGACTTACTCCGTATTTTATGCATTATGTAGCTGACGTACGCTTGGATGCTGCCGATGATTATTACACTGGGCTTTCAGGACCAACCCGCTCTGCTATTGCTTTTGCGGACTCCCCAATGGGAATGTTCTTTTACTTTCTGCCTAAAGCGATGTGGAAGAGAATTGCAGATGAGACGAACCGTTACCGTGAGCAAAATATCCCTGTCTTAGCTGCACCCCGACGCACCAAACTTCTGAAGCGACAGCAAAAAGACCCAGGTGTCAGCGTACCCAGTGTCGAGGAGATCATGAGCGGCTTGCAGAAGTTCAAACCCATTAAAGCACACGAAATTGTGCATGTGATAGCGCTGCTATTTGCTCGAGCTGTCGCCCCATTCGCGACGGGCTCGCTGGTCATTGGCGGCAAGGTGAAGATGGTGCGATTCCCAGGGGAACCTTCTCTCACTACATGAAACGTGAGCGCTTTGAGGTCATCATGATATTTTTACACTTCAACGACAGCTCTAATAGTTCAGCCGCGCAAGATCGAGCTTGGAAAATTCGTCCAGAATTACAAACAGTGGCTAAAACGTTTCGTCGTGGATATCGCCTCGGTAAGGTGATTTCTTTTGATGAGGGGATGATTCCCAACCGCAGTAAGTTCAACCCAGTCCGTGTCTACATGCCGAACAAGCCCAGCAAGTACGGAACAAAGTCCTATCTTACCTGTTGTGCTGAGACAGCATACTGCGCAAGGTAAGTCACCTCATGCTGTGTAATGCGGAATGTGTACTGCTGTATTGTACAGAATAAGCTAAATTCTAATACTCGTATTATGTATTTGTATCTGTAGACTGGAGATTTATTGTGGTGCTGACAAAAAGAAAGCCAAACGAGGCGAAGTGTTGGGGGCAGGGCCCAAGGCCGTATTGCGCAATATCTCAAAGGCACTGAGAGGACAGCCCACCAAGCGTCTGATAGTGACAGATCGCTTTTATTTATTTTTTCTACTGTGGCACTCAGCCTGAAGTTGCTGAAAATGGGCTTGTACCACGTGGGTACGAACCGGCCAGATCGTCTCGGCTGGTGTAACGATATCAAATTCAGGCAGAAGCAGCGTCCGCAGAGCATGGCGCGAGGCACGTATCGTATTGCAAAGTCTCGCCAGCATCCAGAGCTGGTAGCGTTGAGCTGGATGGATTCGCAGGCTGTGTACATGCTTGCTACGGGATGCAGCACACACCCTGTCACCGTCCAGCGCACCGAGAAGAATGGAACACGTAGTACTGTGCCCTGCCCTGAGCTGGTCGTGGACTACGCAAAAGGAATGGGAGGGGTAGACGTGCACAAAAAGCTCAGGCTTCAACAGTACAGTATCCAGAAGTGTGTGGCGTTCCGCAAATACTACAAACAGCTATTCTTAATTATAGTTGACGTGAAGCGCTAAGCGTACGGCTGCGAACGTCACATTGGGCAACCAAACTATGTGGATCTTCGTGGCCAACGATACGCTCCACAATCCAGCGCGCTTCACCCAACGAGTCAATTATCGGTGGTGGCCTTCACGGTGATACGACGTACACCCTGTATACACAGGGCGAGGTGGAGGCTGCTTCTAGCCGCGCGTTGGACGCTCAGGTTGGAGCTGAACGGGCGCAAGAACGTGCGTGGCGGACTGATGGGCTTCTGGGGCATCAGGTTTGTCGGGCTGGTCGCCCGACGCATGCTCCGTCTGGTGGCTTGCGCGAGGAATCGTCGTAGGGATATATCGCTTGAGTCGCCCGACGTAGAAGGTCGGGTGGAGTCTAAGTGACGACGGGATGTCCAGCGTGTAGGCGTCACGCACAACCTTGGTTACTCGAAAGGGGTCGATGAAGCGTGGAGCAAGTTTGTTTACGCCGAGGTTGGTTACGGCAGAAGCGCGGATTTCCTTGGTCGATAGGAGAACGCGATCTCCTATCTTGAATAAATTCACGTTTTTTGGCCCGTGCTTATCAACTTGTTCCTTTTACTTGTCCACTGCATTCTGCAGTGCGTTGCGGACGAACCTTGAGATGGATTGCCTCTGCATGACGAATTCCGCAACTGCCGACCGATCGGCAGGAAGCACCAAGGATTTTGGTGTATAGTTGGCCGTGGTAACTTCCTGCTCGCGAATCTTGTTGCCTGGATCGAACAAGTTCTGCGATGTCCATCTCGTTATCGGAGATGCGGTACGTCGAGGAGGCTCAATGTTCTGGTTGGACGGAGAACGAGGAAAGGCGTTCACACTGGCGATACCCAAAGATAACTCTGAAGTCGAATTCGCCGGCAGGCCTGTTGGCACCGGTGAGGTTACCGGTGCGTGCTGAGACACCAGTTCACGAACTGGTGATGACCACAACGCGGACTCGTTGTCCACAGGACTGACCGCAGCATCAGCATCCATGTCGACCGAAGGAAGATCTCCCCCACCAAGGGTGGAGCCGCCGGCATCCGTGGGGTGGCCCACGGTGCGAAGTCCCGGAACACGTGGGTGTCGAGAATTGTTCACGAAGAACGGCGTCATGCCCGTCGAGGAGTGCTCAGCGTTGCTGAGTGCGAATTCGGCAAGCGGAAGAAAAGAGCTCCGGCTTGTGTACGAAGTCGGGTAGCTGCGGAGAACGTCTTCAAGGACTCGGTTGAAGCTTTTCGGTTTGTCCATCCGTCGCCGGATACGCCGCGGTCGACATCAGCAATTTAGTTCCCGAGAGCTCGAAGAGGGGTGACAAGAACGCGGATATAAGCCGCGGGTCGCGGTCGGACACATTAGACTCCGATAGACTGTGGTGACGAAACATCACGTCGCCGAAGCGGGCCGCGGACGCTTCCGCGGTGATTGAGGCTGCCACCGGAACGTGATGGACCATCTTGCTGAAACGAACGACAAAACACAAGTACACCCGTGCGCCCGGCTGTATCGGGCGGAAGACCGAAGATGAAGTCCATCGAAATGGAGCGCCAAGCTTCTGTGGCACCCGGATGAGGGCGCAATGGAGCTTGAGACGTTGGAGACGGTTTAACTCGCTCGCAAGTTTCACATGTACGGACCCACGTGCGTACCCACTTGTACATGTGCGGCCAATAGAAGTCTCGCGACTGAGCCGCGTACGTCTTCTCGCGACCGAGATGTCCTCCAGTCGGGGCGTCATGATACTCGTGGATTATGCGCGCACGTAGATCAGCGTCGTTTGGGACGTTGACTCGAGTTCCATCGAGCCTGTCGATGCTGTACTTCCATAGATTGCCGTCCAGTCGATATCGAGTAATCTGATTACGCGTGGTGCTTGACAGGGACTTAGCGTGTCACTACTAGGAGCGCGCAGGTGTTTCATGATGGCACCGTATAAAGGGTCATCATCGTACGCTGTAGCAATCTCGTCGCCCAGCGGGAGCGTGGGCGTGGTCAGCGTCACGTTGATGGGTGACGACACGCAGACCGCACATTCGTCGTCGTCCGCATCAGCCACCTGATGTCCTAGCGCTTCACGAGGATCGTGGTCCGG